CAAACGGCAATCACAAGGCACTCAGACGCCTCAAACAGCAATCACAAGGCACTCAGACGCCTCAAACGGCAATCACAAGGCACTCAGACGCCTCAAACGGCAATCACAAGGCACTCAGACGCCTCAAACGGCAATCACAAGGCACTCAGACGCCTCAAACGGCAATCACAAGTCACTCAGACGCCTCAAACGGCAATCACAAGGCACTCAGACGCCTCAAACGGCAATCACAAGGCACTCAGACGCCTCAAACGGCAATCACAAGTCACTCAGACGCCTCAAACGGCAATCACAAGGTACTCAGACGCCTCAAACGGCAATCACAAGGCACTCAGACGCCTAAAACGGTAATCAAAAGGCACTCAGACGCCTCAAACGGCAATCACAAGGGACTCAGACGCCTCAAACGGCAATCACAAGGCACTCGGACGTCTCAAACGGCAATCACAAGGCACTCAGATGCCTCAAACGGCAATCACAAGGCACTGAGACGCCTCAAACGGCAATCACAAGGCACTCAGACGCCTCAAACGGCAATCACAAGGCACTCAAACGCCTCAAACGGCAATCACAAGGCACTCAGACGCCTCAAACGCCAATCACAAGGCACTCAGACGCCTCAAACGGCAATCACAAGGCACTCAGACGCCTCAAACGGCAATCACAAGGCACTCAGACGCCTCAAACGGCAATCACAAGGCACTCAGACGCCTCAAACGGCAATCACAAGGCACTCAGACGTCTCAAACGGCAATCACAAGGCACTCAGACGCCTCAAACGGCAATCACAAGGCACTCAGACGCCTCAAACAGCAATCACTAGGCACTCAAACGCCTCAAACGGCAATCACAAGGCACTCAGACGCCTCAAACGGCAATCACAAGGCACTCAGACGCCTCAAACGGTAATCACAAGGCACTCAGACGCCTCAAACGGCAATCACAAGGCACTCAGACGCCTCAAACGGCAATCACAAGGCACTCAGACGCCTCAAACGGTAATCACAAGGCACTCAGACGCCTCAAACGGCAATCACAAGGCACTCAGACGCCTCAAACGGCAATCACAAGGCACTCGGACGCCTCAAACGACAATCACAAGGCACTCAGACGCCTCAAACGGCAATCACAAGGCACTCAGACGCCTCAAACAGCAATCACTAGGCACTCAAACGCCTCAAACGGTAATCACAAGGCACTCAGACGCCTCAAACGGCAATCACAAGGCACTCAGACGCCTCAAACGGCAATCACAAGGCACTCAGACGCCTCAAACGGTAATCACAAGGCACTCAGACACCTCAAACGGCAATCACAAGGCACTCAGACGCCTCAATCGGCAATCACAAGGCACTCAGACGCCTCAAACGGCAATCACAAGGCACTCAGACGCCTCAAACGGCAATCACAAGGCACTCAGATGCCTCAAACGGCAATCACAAGGCACTCAGACGCCTCAAACGGCAATCACAAGGCACTCAGACGCCTCAAACGACAATCACAAGGCACTCAGACGCCTCAAACGGCAATCACAAGGCACTCAGACACCTCAAACGGCAATCACAGGGCACTCAGACGCCTCAAACGGCAATCACAAGGCACTCAGACGCCTCAAACGGCAATCACAAGGCACTCAGACGCCTCATCCGGCAATCACAAGGCACTCAGACGCCTCAAACGGCAATCACAAGGCACTCGGACGCCTCAAACGGCAATCACAAGGCACTCAGACGCCTCAAACGGCAATCACAAGGAACTCAGACGCCTCAAACCGCAATCACAAGGCACTCAGACGCCTCAAACGGCAATCACAAGGCACTCAGACGCCTCAAACGGCAATCACAAGGCACTCAGACGCCTCAAACGGCAATCACAAGGCACTCAGACGCCTCAAACGGCAATCACAAGGCACTCAGACACCTCAAACGGCAATCACAAGGCACTCGGACGTCTCAAACAGCCATCACAAGGCACTCAGACGCCTCAAACGGCAATCACAAGGCACTCAGACGCCTCAAACCGCAATCACAAGGCACTCAGACGCCTCAAACGGCAATCACAAGGCACTCAGACGCCTCAAACGGCAATCACAAGGCACTCAGACGCCTCAAACGGCAATCACAAGGCACTCAGACGCCTCAAACGGCAATCACAAGGCACTCAGACACCTCAAACGGCAATCACAAGGCACTCGGACGTCTCAAACGGCCATCACAAGGCACTCAGACGCCTCAAACGGCAATCACAAGGCACTCAGACGCCTCAAACCGCAATCACAAGGCACTCAGACGCCTCAAACGGCAATCACAAGGCACTCAGACGCCTCAAACGGCAATCACAAGGCACTCAGACGCCTCAAACGGCAATCACAAGGCACTCAGACGCCTCAAACGCCAATCACAAGGCACTCAGACACCTCAAACGGCAATCACAAGGCACTCGGACGTCTCAAACGGCCATCACAAGGCACTCAGACGCCTCAAACGGCAATCACAAGGCACTCAGACGCCTCAAACGGCAATCACAAGGCACTCGGACGTCTCAAAGGGCAATCACAAGGCACTCAGACGCCTCAAACGGCAATCACAAGGCACTCAGACGCCTCAAACGACAATCACAAGGCACTCAGACGCTTCAAACGGCAATCACAAGGCACTCAGACACCTCAAACGGCAATCACAAGGCACTCAGACGCCTCAAACGGCAATCACAAGGCACTCAGACGCCTCAAGCGGCAATCACAAGGCACTCAGACGCCTCAAACGGCAATCACAAGGCACTCAGACGCCTCAAACGGCAATCACAAGGCACTCGGACGCCTCAAACGGCAATCACAAGGCACTCGGACGCCTCAAACGACAATCACAAGGCACTCAGACGCCTCAAACGGCAATCACAAGGCACTCAGACGCCTCAAACGGCAATCACAAGGCACTCAGACGCCTCAAACAGCAATCACAAGGCACTCAGACGCCTCAAACGGCAATCACAAGGCACTCAGACGCCTCAAACGGCAAACACAAGGCACTCAGACGCCTCAAACAGCAATCACAAGGCACTCAGACGCCTCAAACGGCAATCACAAGGCACTCAGACGCCTCAAACGGCAATCACAAGGCACTCAAACGCCTCAAACGCCAATCACAAGGCACTCGGACGTCTCAAACGGCAATCACAAGGCACTCTGACGCCTCAAGCGGCAATCACAAGGCACTCAGACGCCTCAAACGGCAATCACAAGGCACTCGGACGTCTCAAACGGCAATCACAAGGCACTCAGACGCCTCAAACGGCAATCACAAGGCACTCAGACGCCTCAAACGACAATCACAAGGCACTCAGACGCCTCAAACGGCAATCACAAGGCACTCAGACACCTCAAACGGCAATCACAAGGCACTCAGACGCCTCAAACGGCAATCACAAGGCACTCAGACGCCTCAAACGGCAATCACAAGGCACTCAAACGCCTCAAACGGCAATCACAAGGCACTCAGACGCCTCAAACGGCAATCACAAGGCACTCAGACGCCTCAAACGGCGATCACAAGGCACTCAGACGCCTCAAACGGCAATCACAAGGCACTCAGACGCCTCAAACGGTAATCACAAGGCACTCAGACGCCTCAAACGGCAATCACAAGGCACTCAGACGCCTCAAACGGCAATCACAAGGCACTCGGACGTCTCAAACGGCAATCACAAGGCACTCAGATGCCTCAAACGGCAATCACAAGGCACTCAGACGCCTCAAACGGCAATCACAAGGCACTCGGACACCTCAAACGGCAATCACAGGGCACTCAGACGCCTCAAACGGCAATCACAAGGCACTCAGACGCCTCAAACGGCAATCACAAGGCACTCAGACGCCTCAAACAGCAATCACAAGGCACTCAGACGCCTCAAACGGCAATCACAAGGCACTCGGACGCCTCAAACGGCAATCACAAGGCACTCGGACGCCTCAAACGACAATCACAAGGCACTCAGACGCCTCAAACGGCAATCACAAGGCACTCAGACGCCTCAAACGGCAATCACAAGGCACTCAGACGCCTCAAACAGCAATCACAAGGCACTCAGACGCCTCAAACCGCAATCACAAGGCACTCAGACGCCTCAAACGGCAATCACAAGGCACTCAGACGCCTCAAACGGCAATCACAAGGCACTCAGACGCCTCGAACGGCAATCACAAGGCACTCAGACGCCTCAAACGGCAATCACAAGGCACTCGGACGCCTCAAACGGCAATCACAAGGCACTCGGACGCCTCAAACGACAATCACAAGGCACTCAGACGCCTCAAACGGCAATCACAAGGCACTCAAACGCCTCAAACGGCAATCACAAGGCACTCAGAACCTCAAACAGCAATCACAAGGCACTCAGACGCAACGGCAATCACAAGGCACTCAGACGCCTCAAACGGCAATCACAAGGCACTCAGACGCCTCAAACGGTAATCACAAGGCACTCAGACGCCTCAAACGGCAATCACAAGGCACTCAGACGCCTCAAACTGCAATCACAAGGCACTCAGACGCCTCAAACGGTAATCACAAGGCACTCAGACACCTCAAACGGCAATCACAAGGCACTCAGACGCCTCAAACGGCAATCACAAGGCACTCAGACGCCTCAAACGGCAATCACAAGGCACTCAGACGCCTCAAACGGCAATCACAAGGCACTCAGACGCCTCAAACGGCAATCACAAGGCACTCGGACGTCTCAAACGGCAATCACAAGGCACTCAGACGCCTCAAACGGCAATCACAAGGCACTCAGACGCCTCAAACGGCAATCACAAGGCACTCGGACGTCTCAAACGGCAATCACAAGGCACTCAGACGCCTCAAACGGCAATCACAAGGCACTCAGACGCCTCAAACGGCAATCACAAGGCACTCAGACGCCTCAAACGGCAATCACAAGGCACTCAGACGCCTCAAACGGCAATCACAAGGCACTCAGACGCCTCAACAGGCACTCACATGGCTCCTGCGAGGGGTCCAGCTGTAGCGCTCTGTCAAACTCCACAACCGAGCCTTGCACGTCGTTCTGGTGGTGATGGCACGCCAGGTGTGGGGCATGGGGCGTGGGGGGCATGGATCATGGGGCATGGGGAATAGTGTATCAGTCATGGCGCATTGGCGGGTGGGTTATGGTGATGACACGGCACGAGGCATGAGCTCTGTTCAACTCTACCACCGAGCCTTGCCCATCGCACTGCTACTCTAGGGGTGTTAGAGACCTCTCTCCCGCCCTCCCTCCGCCAGAGTCCACTCTCTCGCCCTTCCGATAAACTACCTCCACAAATAGCTCCATGCCACGTCGGACGGCTGCCCTCGCCGCCTCTCGATTTCCGCCGAATCCGCCCGCCATCGCGATGGTTGCCGCTCCGCCGATTGCGGCGGCAGCCACAGCTGCTAGAGACGCGCCGGGAGATTCTCTCCATTCGAGCAATCCGCCATTTGCGAGAATGTTTCGTTTACGTCGACTGCATGTGAAGCTACTACCGCCGAGAAGGTCTGCATTGCTCGCTGGTCTGTTTTGCCATTTGCGGAGTGATTTTTCCCTCGAGAACTCTGACAACGCGCGGCAGATTTCTGTGGTAGGTTTCGTACTTTGATTGAATGCTTGAATTTCCATCGTGGCGGGAAACACGGCGCACATTGTGGCCATTGTCCTCGTTACAAGGTCGGCGTATTCGCAACGAACCAGCGATAGATTAGAGTATTCCTGATTGGAATCTGGTTTTGCTAGGGCGTAAATTTGCAGTTGTGGCTGTGTCCCCATACCCGTTTGGAGCTACTTCATCACAAAGTGAAAACGGGCCAAAGTATGTGTAAGCGCCTCATATGATTCAGTGAGCGTCAGAAATGTTTCCAGATTCGGAATATTTCGGTGGAAGTTGACCTGTGGTTTGTGTGCTGCTTGCGGGCAGAAACGCCAAATCTGAGTCGTCGAGGTAAGAAATGTAAACGGATCGGACGTCTATTATGACGACTTTCATAATCGGGCAGCCAACACACAGTCCAGCCATCACACACAACCAAAACGTGGCCCTTCGGGGTTCCTTCCGAAGCACCGCACAACCGACTATATGGGTAGGGTGCGCTTCGCTGAGCCCCACTTCCGGCCAATCATGCATTTTTGTCGTGAGAAGGTAAGGCAGAAAGCCGCACCGCTAACGCTGGTGAAGGCTGGGCTGGGCCAGCAAACCAGACACTCACAGAACCAGATTGCACCAATAGGAGACGCGGTAACGCCCAGCAAAGCCCACTCCTAGGTTTGGTGTCAGGTGCCCAAAGCCATCTGGCACGGTTTCGGGCGAGCCGAGCCTACGAACAGGTCAACGCAGCGCAGCCAGCAAATCCAAGGCAAGTGCAGCTTTCCGTGCAGAAGAGGCGCAGTTACAGCATGCGCAGAGGGGCGCTATCGTTTGGTGGTTACACCACCACCACCACCACTCTTTCCGAACCAGCGAGACGTGGTGGTTGCAGGAGGGGGATGGGAGGAGGGTGTGGGAAAGGGTTGCTCTGCTCGCGCTGAAATGCTATGTCCCTCCTGCCTTTCGGCGGTTGCTCTTTTCCAAAATGCGACACCTGTTTGTTCAGACCCATCCTTAATTTGAAGTTGGACGTGTCTTTTCCCCGAGATAGACAGCAGCTTTAGATGGTTCACTAGCTCGCAAGTCAACTCGCCGCACGTCTGCGTTTGTTGTCGCGCGGCCGTTCCTGAATAATTGAGGCGAAGTTATAAGCAGCTTTTTAGCAGTCGTCCCGTCACCGTAGCTGGTAATGGTGTCTCCGCGAGAAAAGGCCGGGTTCTCCCGGCGACTCGGAAGCGGCGCGGTCCTCCTGGCGGCCACAGTGGCGCTCCTCCTCTTGCCGTGTGCCGATGCCGCGCAGAAAGATACCTGGTCTCCGCGGACCTTCACGGCCGATCCTTTCCCCGTGCCTCCGCCAGACTGGCAAAACCTCCCCTTCCTGCGCCGCCAAGAGAGCGCTCGCCGCAGGCTTTTGAGCGGTGGTGGCGTGTCACGTCCTCATTGGATGCCTCATAGCGAGTACACCCTTCCCTGGATGCTGGGGGATCGGAAGCCTCTCATTCCAACAGACCCATCGGATGGGGAAGCTGACGTGGCAGAGGCGGCGGCCACGTCACCCGGAAATGACGGGTGGCTTGGGGCTAACGGTGCAGGTGTTGCCTCTGCCGCTGCTGCTGGCGGTTCGGCGGGCGCGGGAGCAAGGGGGGGGCCGAGATACTCACTGGCGCAGCGAAAAGGCGTGTGCTCCCCGGTTACTCCCGCGAGTCCGCGCATCGTGGTTACCACCGAGGCTGACTTCGTGAAGCGCCTCAAGTATCCGCGAAAAACGACGGTTCTGATGACGCTAAAAGCGGACATAATGCTAAAGAAAGGCCTCGCTTTTGGCCCCTACTACTCGTGCACGATCCTGCAAGCGGACGTCACGGGCAACCGTACGATCTCGTTAGCCGGAGCCGATCAGCCAATCCTCCGAATCGTCGAGACTTTTAACGTGATTGTATGGGGAATCAACTTCTGGATGGGCGTTCTTCCAACTTCCCCTGCTTGCAAGGGGATACCGGAGCACGGAGCGGGGGCGGTTTGCCCTACAATTCACGTGTACAAATCCTTCGGCATCCAAATTGCACAGGGTTACCTGTGGGGGCGATTGGACTTGTATCGCACGATGAATTCGCTAGTCGACGGGATGGCGATCACGGGCGAGTTCCCGTTCGCCAAAAGCCCGGGTTCCATCCGCGTCGCATTCAGCGGGGTCGGCACCCGGGCGATCAAGTCGGGCATCGTGCTTTCAAATAACGACATTTACGGTGAGTCGCCGGCCGTGCCTGCCACGTGCCCCTTCACACGCGTTGCCTCCTTCTGTAATATCGCCTCTTCATCTCCCTTTCCTCGCTCTTCTCCGATTCTTGAGGAGCCACAGCGTGGCAGCTTATACGCGCGCGCATGCGCATGCCCATTCTCCCTCCTAATCTTGCTCTCCTAACTCCACGTTCCCCCGCCGTTTGTGCGTTCTTCGCTCCCTCCCCTCCCCTTCCCTCCTCCTCCCTCCTCTCCCCTCCATTTCCATCTACAATTTCATCCCCTCACCCGTTACCCCGTACCCCCATTCCCCGTGTTTCTGTTGCAGTCGTCAACACGCCCGTCTACTTGACCAACGGTGCCGTCGGCGTGCAGGTAACGTCTGACGGCTAGCAGTCAAATCTTACCACCTTACACTTGAATACAGTCACTATGATGCCATGTGCTTTTTATTTCTCTTTATTACCGCACCATGCACAAGTGTCGTCTTCCCTCCCTCCCTCCCCTCCCCCTCTCTTATCCCCCCCTTCGGCCCACTTTCGTGATCCAATTCAAGTGTCCTGGACTTGGCGCCTCACCACCTCTCTTCCACTCCTCTCCACTCCTCACCGCTCCTCGCCACCCCTCGCCACCCCTCGCCACCCCTGTGCAGGTCGTGAACAACTTCTTGCACCAGTACACGGGGAGCGGCGTGCAGTGCGGGACGCACGTGAACAACGCGGGGAGCTGCATGATGACGTTTATCGGGCGCAACTGGTTCTTCCCCAACGTCACCATCACCGCCAAGACCGACATCTCGAATATCCGCTTCACCACGCACTGGATCAGCCCCGGTGCGCGCACTCGCCCCCCTGTACCCACCAGAGTGACTCGTCTCTCTCCCTCTCTCTCGCGCACAAGGCTCGGGTTGCACGCCTTCGCACGCACCGTCACATGCACATGCCATATCGGTTGGCCGCTTTCAATACATTAGCTGCGTGATGACGTTCATAGGCCGCAACTGGTTCTTATTCCCCAAAGTCACCGTCACCGCCAAGACCGCCATCGCCAACATCCGCTTCCCTGTGATTCTCTGAATACACCGCATGCTTGCACCCATACCCACCCCTCTTGCTCACCTCAGCCCCTACTTGCTCCCCCCACCCCGCTTGTTCCCATCAGGCAATGCGGCGTCATGCAACTACATGCTGGGTGGCAACAGCTGCTTCAACCTAGAGGCTGACACCACCGGTGTTGTCGTCCTGGGGGGCGCGTGCATGGGTGCTTTTAACGGGGTCAACATTGAGAATGGCAAAGAGTACGTTTTTTGTTGTTTGTATATTGGTTGCGTCTTCAGCTCTAAGAATGGTCGATTGAAAATATCGCTCGGCAGACTTTCTCGTGTTTGTTTCAACCTTTTTTCCTCCTTTTTTATGCATTGACTATTCTTTTATTTTACAAAACAGGAACCGGATACAGTACGTTTGGGTGAAGGACTACACTGCCGTCCCGGGGTCAGCGACGTGTCCCACAGTCACAACCATCAACTGCAACACGCCCACGGGCAAGCTGTGGGAGAGCAAGCGGATCAAGTACTACAACTCCCCGATCATTAACAAGGTACTTGCCATGAATAGTTCTTAGTATCCTCAACCACATACCCTGTGCAGTTGTTGATACCCTGTTTCTTGCATATGTAACTCGAGTGCTTCCCCTTCTCACTTGTGTCTGCCCCTCCTTTCCCTCATCTTCCACACCCTTGCGTACCATCACTTCCAGCGCTGGCCCTTCCTGAGCAAAATCTGCAAGGACGCAAGCATCGGCACGGTGCCCTGCAATGTCCCCACAGCCGGGTCCCTCAACGCACGGCAAACCGGCAAGTGCAGCGGCCTCCCGACCAGTAACATCCTCGATCTCGCCCTGCTGGACGGCAGCAAATTCCCGCTGAGCTTTCAGGGCTGCGAAAAGACCCCTTCAGTGCCTACAGTGAACAAATTCTCGAGCATCCGGTACACTTCTTCCAATGTTCCGGGCCTGCAGTTTGTGAATTTTACGACTGGGAGCCTGGAGGTGAAGCCGACGTCTCCTATATTCAAGCAATGGCCCCGGTTCATGAACTGCAAATTGGACTCGCTTGGGTTGAAGTCTCGGCCAGCCCGGGCATACTTGGGATTCTACAACGTACCTGTTCCGCTTGGATTCCCTCAGTTGCTGAAGATGACAAGTGATCACTTGTAGAAGGGTCTGGGCAATGGATATTGTTTGTCTTAATAGTCTGGACGTCCTAGATAACATATTCAGTAGTGATAGGTGAAGCACCTCATAAAATTGTTGAAGAGTAGGACAATGTACTGTAGATTGAAATGCGAAATCGCAACCTCATTCTGCCAGATCTGAGCGAACAACAGTCATGGGCATGTTTTCGTGCGCACGTCCCCCTTCCTCATCGGCATGACACAAAAACAGCATCGCGGCTCGAAATTTCGGGGGCGAATTTCACCGACAATGATGAGTCGACTGCGGTTGCCAATTCCAAGCTCCAGCTTCCAACGTTCACTTCTCACTCAAAACCAGCTCCTTCGAGCTTTGCTAACCACGTCATATGCTGTCGCCTCGATACACACCCATACTCAAGGTCACATTCAGGCCTGTAGCGCTTCGCCCTGCATTCAACTACCGTACCAGCCTTTTATCTATGTCGCGTCTGATCAGTATTGCATAACTTCAAGTTCCGAGCCAAGTTCGCCGCGCTGCAGCTGGATATCGTTCTCGCCTCTTGAGATCTCTTCCTGAGGCACCACGTGAACCGCAAGCGCCAAAATGGGCCGGTTTAGCCCGGCTGCGCTGATCGCATGCGTGTCGCTGCTCATCCTTCTCGCGGCACCAGCGGTGAAGCCTGATAAAAATTCTCCACGTCAACCACTAGCTATCGAGGACGGTAAGCTCTCCTATGTATACAGCTTCGACGGTTCTAAGGGCTATTGTGTTCCGTTTTCAGTTCGCTGCTGTAAATCACTGCTGTAACCCGTGTAACAACCCTTCGTTTTCGCGCTTCCGCTCCCCGCGTTGACCCTAACCTTCCGTATTCTCTCGGCTGCGTCGCATTTCCGCAGGCGACCGGGACGCATGGCCGCATTCCTCGCCTCTATCGCTCATAGAGGATTTATTCCCAACATCGCCTGCGCTTTCCTCTCCCTACCGCCTCCTCAAATCCACCCCGGCCCCCACGAAGTCCTCCGGCCGCGCAAGCTCCCCCGCCCGCGCAAGCTCCGCGCCAGCCTCCGACAAGAAGGGCAGCGGCAAGAAACTGCAACAGTCGGGAAAATCGGCGTCAGAGGGCGCCACGTCAGCAGGAGCCGGAACAGCCCTCTCGTCGTCCACTTCTGGGAAGGGGAAGCGGGGAAAACGGGGGAAGCGGGGGAAGGGTGGGAAAAAGGGGAAAGCGGGGGGTGCGGCGAAAGCAAGTGAGACGAGCAGTTCGCTGCAGAACGGAAAGAAAAAGGCGGGGAAGAAAGGAAAGAAGACGGCTGTTTCATCGGGCAAAACGGGCAAAGCTGGGTCGTCTGGCGAGAGGAAGAAGGGTGGGCACAAGTGGCCTCGCGAGGGCACAACGGGGTCTGCTGGTGAGAGGAAGAAGGGCGGACATAAGTGGGCTCGCGAGGGCACGAAGAAAACCTCTGTGAAGAAGTCTGAGGCAAAGACGGCGAACGCGCCACTAGCGAAGAAGGCCGCGACGACTTCGCCAGCGTCGGGTAGCTCTGGAGGGTCCAAGCGCGGACGAAGCAAGTCTGGAAAGGGAAAGAAGAGACGCACCCCCGCTGCGGCACCAGCTGACTCCGGCTCAAAGTCCGGAGGGGGCAAGAGGAAGCCAACGTCGGGCAAGTCCGGCTCGCGTGGGGGATCCGCACCTCCCGCCACAACTTCCGCGCGTTCGCACAAGAAGGGCAAGACGACGAAACACAGCCAGGAAGTGGGCTCTGGCATTGAAGGGAAAGGGTCATCGAATTCCGCTAAGCCAACGAAGCCGCCTGCGTCTCCCTCGGGAGGAAGCACGTCGAGCCCAGCGAAAGCGCCCAAAGGCTCTGACTCAGATGCCTCCAAGGCTAGCAAAACGCCGAAGCCGTCCAGCGGCCCAACTAGCAGCTCAAAGCCCAGCAAGGATAAGAACTCGGATTCGGCGAAGGCTGATTCGGGTTCGGAGAAATCAGGCTCGGATGCAAAACCTTCTCCTCCCTCTTCTCCCGCCAAGCCAAGCACGGGGAAGAGGAAAAAGCCACCCCCGCCAGCAGACACGAGTGAGGGTGAACCTGCCAGCTCGCCTCCTGCGGCTCCTGTGCCGAAGATGATATGTGAGAAACACAAGGGGCAGCAGCTGATGGTGATGGACGGTAACCTCTTCTTCACGGGGAATGTGGAGAAGTGCGAGGGTTCTTGTATCAAGGATTCCTCCTGCCTCATGTACACCTTCTCGGGACTCAGCTGTCAACTCTTCACGGCTAATATGACTGCCAGGCCTGTCAAGGCGTGCTTTTCGCGTAAGTGTCAGTGGGGGAAGTGCAGAGACACGGAGGGAGATGGTAGCGAAGAGGACAGTAGCGGAGATGGCAATTCTGGTGGGGACACTGGTGGTGCAGATGAGAGTGGGGGAGGTGATTATGGGGGTGATTCCAGTGGAGGGGACTCTACTGGGGATGACAGCACCAGTGACTCAGGAGATGATTCCAGCTCGGATGGAGCGACCATTGACTACGGGCGATGATCCAGGTTAGGGTTATACCATTGACCACGGTTTCTATACTTAAGTTTAGGTACAACCAGCTAACATTCCAGAATGCAAGAATTTTACATTATGCTATTTTTTAAATGGCATTTGTTCTGCCAGACCATCAGTGTTTATTCAAGATGATCTTGAAAGCTGGCGTGGACAAAACCATTCAATCTCTACCACGTGGAAACGTCGCCCGCATACGGACCAGTAGTGCTGCTCATTTTCGCCCGCATACGCAAGCCGCCCCCCCATCCCACAGTGGCTTCTTGACTTTCACAATGGAGCATTCCTCCTCTCTGCCCCTCAAGCGAGCATGGCGCTTGCGCACCTCTTGTGAACCCTTCCGCACCCCCCCTCCGCGTAGTTGACCAAAACGGGCCAGTAGCGTCGCATCCTTTTCCGATTGGGTACGGGCACTCGTCAAATCCAGCTGCTCCAGCATTTCCCTCGTGCCACTGACATCCAGCCTTGTTGTGATCTCCCGTTGGCGATAAAATTGGTCGACCATTCTGTTACACGACGAAGTATCGCAAACGGTGACAATGTGGTACCATTACAGCTGGCGAGATCCCAAATGTGGTTACAGTCGCTCCTGATCGAACACTGATGTCATCACTTGTCCAGGATAATGGTCCAAGCGCGGTCCGCGATCCTGCATCTAGGGGGGCTCGTCTGGGGGTGGCGGGGGAGGGGGGAGGGGAGTGAAGTGGGCTGGGTGTGTGAAGGGAAACGAAAGGACGCTTCAGTTAGCTCATAGTGAGACTAAAGCATTTGCTGCGATTCAATATCCCGAAGTGCTACCAGTTTTAGTTTGTAGTAGCCGCAACTGGCTGCGATTTCCTTTCTCAACGTGCCAGCCCAATTAGGTTCGTGCCGCAGCCTCCATGGGGGACAAGGAGCTGCCCGAGAATTACTTCAACCATTTGCTCGAATCGAAGATTTTGTCGAGAAGGGCAGACGGGTCCGATTCGAATGGCCTCCGATATGATGGTATTAAATCGGCAGCTTATGGTCAGAATGGCTCTCTTCGGGGTCGAAGCGATAACTTCCCAGAGGTGAGATGGATAATGTGTCATATGCCATCTCCCCACAGTATATCATGTGATTTTCATTTCACATTGCTATGCGGTTATGGCTCCTTTTCCCGGAATCTTCAGGCTACCGAGGATCAGATTAGAGCTATTGTGGACGGGTTTAACGACGTGAATGTGCTTACGGCGAATGGGCTATGCCTGGGTAACGAAAAGTTTCTGGTCATCCAAGGTGTTCCTGGCGTTATCATTCGTGGAAGAAACAAGCAAGACGAGGTGGGTACAACCAACTTGATTCACCGTCCCTTCAATGGTTCTTGCATCGGTTCTACTATTTCTGTTTTGTTTTTTAAGACACACTGACGACGTTGCTATTCCCGCAGAACCGGAAAGTTGGTGGTTGCTGCATCCATAAAACGTCCGCTAATAATATTCTGATCGTCTCCTTCGAGGAGCCTGTCCTTGCGGGCGACGTGAATATGCTTGTTGCTGAAGCAGCTCGAGAAATCAACTCCTATGGATTCTAATCAAACGAATATGTTCATGCTGGGTGTTGCTACTGGAAAACTATAAATGCTTCTGTTGTATCTGCTGATATAATCTTGTTGTGAGTTCCTGTATCTCAGCATCTCAGAAACCATTGAGTAGTATTGATCTGTTAGTGATTCAATGAGAGCTTGGCTGTGTTTCATTCTTCGAAATATGTGCATTTGCCTGCTATCCAGATCTAAAACATAATGCTATGTAAAAAGGCACTCTTGTCTCTCACGATACGCACGAAAGCTACCTTCATCCACGGGCACTCCCCCCCCCCACCCCTCACCCCCTCCTCCCCCGTTTGTTGAAGGGGTAGGGACTGCTGCGCCTGTAGAGGTAGACTCTAGTCAATAGAGACGTTGAGGTGAAGGAGTGTGGCAAGGTCAACAGTAGGTTAGGTTAGGTCCCTCGCTCTTACCCCTCCTGCATCCCTAGCCGCCCCTTGTTCCCTCACGGCCCCCTCTACCGGCCCACCCTTTAGCGGCCTCCCTCTAGCCCAACTCTAGCCCCCCCCCCCCCCCCCCCCTCCTCCCCGCCCCCCCTCTCCTCCAAACCCCCGTCCTCTAGCGCCCCGCCGCAAACCCGGTCGTGGCTTCGTCATGTCCCGGACGCGGCCCCGTTACGCCCTCATCGTGGCCCCGAAGTCGCGGCCCGTCGTGGCACCGTCATGGCCCTGCCGCCTTCACGGCCCCGTCGCGGCCCCGTCGCTCCCCACCCTCTCCCCCCTCCCCCCCCTGTCAAATGTAATTCTATGCTTGTAGGCTACAGTGAGTAGCACAAGAGGGAGTACAGCTGTTAGGGTTGCATATTTGTACTCTCACACTTTCACCATATTTGTATAGTTGTTAGGGTTTCCACCATTCAGTTGCATTCCTATTCTGAGATGGTATCAAGAGTAGGTTAGATCCTCGTTCGTTTTTAGCTAGCCTCCGCGCCCTACGCGCCCTCTGTGCTCCCGCGCCCTCCGCGCCCTCCTCGCGCCTAGCCTGCGCCCTCCCGTGCTGTCCAGCCTGTCGCGCGCCCTCCTTGACCTCCGCGCGCCCTCCCCCACCGTTGCGCGCCCTCCAAAACCGTCGTGCGCCCTCCTTAGACCGCCGTGCGCCCTCCCTCACAGTCGCACGCCCTCCTCAACCGTCGCGCGCCCTCCTTAGACCATCGCGTGCCCTCCCCTCCGCCTGTCGTGCGCCCTCCTCCGTCAACGCTTCCCGCACACCTGCATGCGCTTCCCGCACACCAGCGTGCGCTTACCGCACACCTGCGTGCACTTACCGCACACCTGCGTGCGCTTACCGCACACCTGCGTGCACTTATCGCATCACTCTGTGTGCGCTTCCCGCACACCTGCATGCGCTTCCCGCACACCTGCGTGCCCTTACCGCACACCTGCGTGCCCTTACCGGACACCTGCGTACACTTACCGCATCACTCTGTGCGCTTACTTAATCTCCCTCCCCTTCACCTGTGCACCGGTCCCATGCCATTCCTACTGCACTTGGCTCCCGGCTCAGCGGCTGGCAGCCGCTCTTCCCTCCGGTAGCGCCACCTAGGTTCGGTTAGAGCCCCGCCCCACGACTAGTTTCTCGCCGACTGTCTCTCGTCGTTTTCCTCGCTGGCGCCCCTAGCCCTCCGTAGTTTTCCTCCTCGTTCTTAGCTTCGCCTCCGCCGTGCTCCAGTCGCCTCTAGCATGGGCTCCGCTATGGAGGCCCGTCGCCTCCGTTTCGATGCTGAGGGACGCCCGATCGAGTTCAGTACCTGGCAGCGCCAGACCACACGTTTCCTCACCAGCCAGCGTCAGGACGGCGCCACTCTGTGGGCCCACTCGTCGGGTGCTCTCGCGACACCCCCGTCCCCCGCCGCCCTGCCGATCGCCCCGGAGCCGACTCCTACGGCCCAGGCGGACTACGACCGTCGGGTCCTGGCTCGGGACGTGTGGCTCTCTCGTGACGCGGCCGCTGCCCTCACGCTATCGGAGCTTCTCCCCTCGACTGAGGCCGCTCACTTTGACCACGTGGAGACAGCCAAGGGGGTTTGGGATGCTATTGTGGCTCGCTATTCCACCCCCTCCTCCGCCTCCCTCAGTCGCCTCCTCATGCCGTTCGTGTTTCCCGACCTAGGCTGGTTTGCGACTGTTTCCGACCTAGTGACTCACCTCCGCTCGCTTGACGCCGGTTTTCGTTCGGCCTGTACCGACACACAGCTCCATGTTTCTCCCCCCCCCCCCATGTGGCTCACTATGCACTGGTTAGTCACCCGCCTCCCTGACCACCTTGCCACTGCCCGCGACGCACTTCTTCAGAAGCACCCCACTGAACTCACTATAAACCTCCTTCAGACTGCTCTCGGGACCATCGAGAGCAGCCTCCTCACCGTTGCCTCCGCCACTGATGCGGTGGCCCCCCGTCTCTTTGCGGGGTGTGCCGCCCCTCAGCTTCCCACTTTCATCGCTACCCACGCTTCTGCTGCTGTGTCGGTCTCTGAGGACACCGCTGCCATTTATGCCGCAGGCTGGCAGAAGCGGGGCAAGAGTGGCAAGGTGGGCGGGAAGGGGGGAGGTGGGGGCGGAGGAGGTGGCGGTGGAGGGGGCGGTGGAGGTGGGAGCGGCGGTGGTGGTGGAGGCGCCAGCGGCGGCGGCGGCGGTGGTGCACTAGGGGGAGGGGGCCTTGGAAGAGGCGCAGGACAGACAGGTCCACCCAGAAGTGGTGGCCCGACCGGTGGGGGTGCTGCCCCCCAGTAGCAGCAGCCACAGCAGCACCAGCCATAGCAGGGACAGCAGCAGCAGCAGGGACAGCAGCAGTAGCAGCAGGCACCGCAGCAGTTCCGGCAGTGGGGGCCCCCGCTGCAGTGGGGTCCGCAGCAGCACTGGGGTCCCCCGCAGCAGTGGGGCTCGGGAGGCCCTGGAAGCACCGGCCGCAGCAGCAGCTCTTCCAGCTGGGCCCCTCGCCCCCCTCGCCGTGACGCTGGCCCCTGCACCCACTGGTGCCTCACCGGGCCGGGCAGCCCCTATCTCTGTGGTCGCGATGACCACTCTGCCGCGCGGTGCTTTCGCCGCCTCGACGACCTCTACCGGGCTCGTTGGGGCCCCCTAGCGGTCACGCCTCGCTGGTCTCGTCTGTTAACCCGTAAGATTGATGTCTTTGATATGTCCATGGACGATGCGTGTCAGCATGCTTTGTATGATGATGCTGACTTTAGTGCTGAGGGATCTGTGTGCTCGCGTGTTCGTAGTTTAGCCTGCTTGCCTCCTGCTAGTGTAGCCTTGTGCCTGTCTAGCTTAGGTGCTTGTGTTGCTGCTCTAGGTGCTTGTGTAGCGACTGGGTCAGGTGACCCTCCGGCTGAGGCGTCTCTGTCGTTCACGCTGGACTCGGGCGCGTCTCAGTGCTTCTTCCGCGACCACACGACCCTTACGCCACTCCTCACTCCTGT